CGGGGGGGAGGGACAGTGCACACCATGCTAGTGGGCTCGGGGGTCAGACCATTTCCTCTGAGGCTGCCCTATCCTGTTCCAGTCCAGAATCCTCTTGGGACACAGGGGACTGAGTTTGGGACCCCTCATAAGCAGGGAAGGGGCCTGAGAGTTTTCATTTTTCAGGGCACCTCTGGCAACAGGGGCCTCCAGGGAGAGAAAGGCGAGAAGGTGAGAAAGGAGGAAATTCCTTGGAGGAGGGGGTAGCCCCAATACTGAGGTCCTGGTTGTGTCCTTTCCCTGAGGCTGGGACTTCTGAATTCTGTCTCTCCCATCTAGGGAGAGGATGGCTTCCTGGGCTTCAAGGGTGATGTGGGGCTCAAAGGTGATCGGGTAAGATCTCCAGATGGGGGATTATGTGGGTCTAGGGGCTTGGGGGTGACTTGGGTTAAGACAGAGACTAGAGGGAGCAGGAAAGATAAAGAACTAATATCAAGGCCTCTCCTTTCTATTCCAGGGACACCCCGGACCCCCAGGTCCCCGGGGAGAGGATGGCCCTGAGGGGCTGAAGGGGCAGGAGGGACTGGCTGGTGAAGAGGGGCCCCCAGGCTCAGCTGGGGAGAAGGTGAGTGAACAAACCCTGGTCACCCCTCTGCTGTCCACCCTACAGCCTCCCATCCTGCAGTCAGGCATTTCCCGGCCCTTTGCCCTTTTAGCTCCGACCTCAGGAGGCTGCTACCACCCTGTCCTCTCCTTTAATTCCTCCGCTCAGCATTACAGAACAATTCCATGCATATATCTTATTTTTATCCCCACAGCCACCACATGCAATAGGCATTTTTATTCCCATTTTACAGACAAGGAAACTGAGACCTGGAATGGTTGAATGACCCGCCCAAGGACATGCCCCTAGCAGATAAGGAGCCAGGACTTGAGTCCAGATTCCTTGACTCCCAGCCTGCTGTCCCTTCCACCGTGCCCCAGCTACCCTGACCTTTCCCCTCTGATCTTCAGGTTACAATTTCTGACCTTTGTCCCATAATTTCTCTGCAGGGCAAGCTTGGGGTGCCAGGTCTCCCAGGTTATCCAGGACGCCCGGGACCTAAGGTAAGAAGCTAAGGAGGCTAGGGTGGGCAGGGGCAGGGGCAGGACTAGCATCTGGGGATTCAGGCTGTGGTCTGGGTGTGACAGTCCACTCCATGGGTAATTGAGAGAGCGTACAATGTGAGCTTTGGCATAAGACAGACTTGGGCTCAAATACTCACTTTTTACCTGCTATGTGATCTCAGGCAAGTCATCCCTTACCTGCTTTGTGACCTTGGGCAAACCACTTGAGCCCATTTTCTCACCTGGAAAATGGAGATCCCAGTAGTATCTACCTCATCAATTTGATTATAAGAATGTTGTTGATGACGATGATAATGATAAACTGCAGGATCTTTCTTATTGGGTGTAATCGATGTTGATTGATCACCAAGTCAGTTAAGAGGGAGAATAATAAAAAAAACCACATACCTTACATATCTTAAATTAATTATAACTCATAATCAAATGTACTTATACAAATGTGTACATGTATAAAAATACACTTTTGTTTGCCAATATTTTGATTGGTGAGGATACTGGTGAGTCTCATCTTTCTGTCTACACTACATTATGTTATTGATTATTTATAGTTTCTGTTTATATTAAGTAAAGCAAGAGCTTGAAGACACTTGGGAAGAAATTTGGGTGCAGAATATCTCCATAGCCCACATTTTTGCCCTCGTGAGCTGACACAGTTATCTTTCCTGCACTTAATTTTTTTTTTTTTTTTAAAAGATGACCGGTAAGGGGATCTTAACCCTTGACTTGGTGTTGTCAGCACCACGCTCAGCCAGTGAGCGAACCGGCCATCCCTATGTGGGATCCGAACCCTCGGGCGGGAGCGCCGCCGCGCTTCCCAAGCGGCGCACTATCCAGTGCGCCACCCGGCCGGCCCTTTCCCGCCCTTAATTTTTTTTTTTTTTTAAAAGATGACCGGTAAGGGGATCTTAACCCTTGACTTGGTGTTGTCAGCACCACGCTCAGCCAGTGAGCGAACCGGCCATCCCTATGTGGGATCCGAACCCTCGGGCGGGAGCGCCGCCGCGCTTCCCAAGCGGCGCACTATCCAGTGCGCCACCCGGCCGGCCCTTTCCCGCCCTTAATTTTTTTTTTTTTTTAAAAGATGACCGGTAAGGGGATCTTAACCCTTGACTTGGTGTTGTCAGCACCACGCTCAGCCAGTGAGCGAACCGGCCATCCCTATGTGGGATCCGAACCCTCGGGCGGGAGCGCCGCCGCGCTTCCCAAGCGGCGCACTATCCAGTGCGCCACCCGGCCGGCCCTTTCCCGCCCTTAATTTTTTTTTTTTTTTAAAAGATGACCGGTAAGGGGATCTTAACCCTTGACTTGGTGTTGTCAGCACCACGCTCAGCCAGTGAGCGAACCGGCCATCCCTATGTGGGATCCGAACCCTCGGGCGGGAGCGCCGCCGCGCTTCCCAAGCGGCGCACTATCCAGTGCGCCACCCGGCCGGCCCTTTCCCGCCCTTAATTTTTTTTTTTTTTTAAAAGATGACCGGTAAGGGGATCTTAACCCTTGACTTGGTGTTGTCAGCACCACGCTCAGCCAGTGAGCGAACCGGCCATCCCTATGTGGGATCCGAACCCTCGGGCGGGAGCGCCGCCGCGCTTCCCAAGCGGCGCACTATCCAGTGCGCCACCTGGCCGGCCCTTTCCTGCACTTAATTTGACAGAGAAGTTTTTAGTGACTTCTCTTTATACTGAGTCTTCTCCGTTTAACTTAGTTTTTTGGCTTGTTTAGTTTTCTTTCGTTTTCTTGGTTTTTTTGGTGGCTGGCCAGTATGGGGATCTGAACACTTGACCTTGGTGTTGTCAACGCCATGCTCTAACTGAGTGAGCTAACTGGCCAGCCAAACTTAGTTCTGATGGACATTTTTCTTTTCCTTTTCATATTTCATCAGTTATTGTAAATTTTTACTGACTCCAGTAGCAAGCGCGACTGACATAAACAGATTTAGGAATAAACTCAAGGCACCATAGCTAAGTATAGAACTCAACCTGCGGGAGCAGAAGTTCATGGAAGTTTGAGAAAGAAGCTTCCTAGCCAAGACCAATTAGCATATGTCAGACATTGAGCAACGCATTTTATCAGAGTCATAATACGTTGGTTAACTCAAGGTCAGTAACAACTGTCATAAATAAAGACAATTTCAGCTAACATTTCTTGAGCACTTACTATGTACCAAACACTGTGTAAAGCACTTTCTGTGATTTTACCCAATTAATCCTCACCAAAACCTTGTGAAGGAGGTATGGTTGGAATCTCCAGTCTACAAACAAGCAAACTTATGCTCAGAGAGGTTAAGTCACTTGTCCAGGGCCACACAGCTAGTTTAGTGGCAGGTCTGGGATTCAAACTCAGACCAAGTCATACAATTGAATGACACAGGCAAAGCCCTTAGCACAGTGTCTAACACAATGTAGGTATTCAGGGAAGGGAGTTTTGATCAATAGCAAAAGTAGTCATATTGTCAGGTATGGCTGGTAAGAAATTGATTCAGCAATCATAGGATGAAATTTTAGGAAGCCCCTGTGTGTTTGTGTGCAGGGCCCTTGAAGAGTATAGGGACCCTGGTGCCCCCGGAGGGGAAGGGAGGGAAAAGGGTCCTGAGGTTGGACCCTACCACAGACTTGCTGGGTAACTGGGGCAAGGGTCTTTCCTGATCTGGACTCAGTCTGCACAGTGAGCAGTGGAAGGGACTATCCAAGCCCTGTGATATCTTCCCTTAGGTAGAGGGAGAGTCCCCCAGGATGGGTAGGACAGCACGGACTGAGGCCAGTTAACAAATACTGAAGGATCATGTATTGTGCACCAGGCAGTGGGGAATCAGACTGGTGAGCTAGGTCCTAGTGGGGGCGAACAGACAGTGAAT